TCTGTCTGTCTGTCTGTCTGTCTGTCTGTCTGTCTCTATCTATCTATCTATCTATCTATCTATCTATCTATCTATCTATCATCTCTCTCTCTCTATCTATCTATCATCTACCTATCTATCTATAATCTATTTATCGGACAAGAATCAATTGCTAAATGTGGTCCAGGAGGAATTCCTTGTTCACACTTGTCCCTAAGTAGTCCCTGGGCTGGTATCATCTACTAAATGAAATGGTAGTAGTGCTTTTTATGTTTCTAGTTGAATAAAGTGTCATTCTTGAACCTCTTAACTCAATTTCATGGCTCTCTCCTTTGATGTGATATTTTGTTTGTATATTTCCTGATAATTTTTATTGTTGCTTTGTCAGAGCCATGTCTGATCATTCAACATAAACTTCCTTCTTATTCTCTCTTCAGTTCCACCAGCAAAAAAGAGCAACAAAGGACTTTTACTAATTTTGTGCTTCCTGCTGGACATAGTTTAGTGCATTAAAGTTTTTAAACTTATTTATTTTTATTTTTATGTCTATAGTTGTTTTGCCTGCATATATGCAAATACACCCATGTAATGCAATGCAAGACCAGAAGAGGGCATCGGATTCCCTGCAACTGGAGTTACAGACAGCTGTGAATTGCTATGTGGGTGCTGGGACCTAAACTTAGGTCCTCTTCAAGAGCAGTCAATGAGTGTTTTTAACTGCTGAGCCATCTCCCCAGTCCCCAGCATAGTACATTTTAAATAATGGTTGATTTGAGTTAATCCATTTTCTGTATCATTTCATCATATTTTTATTAAAATGAGAGGGAATTCTTGTATGGAGAAAGAGCATGATGGGAAGTTTGTAGGGCTGATAGTCCGAAGACCTGGATCACACCTCAGGATGCCATGGGTGATAAACTGAGTGATCGTTACAAAATTGCTTCCTCTTTGCCAAACAGTCACTTATCTGTAATACAATAGGGTTAGATCTTATGATCTCTAAAGTTCCTTTTGGTTTACTATTCAATAAACATGTACAGATCAGGGCTTTTTTTTTTTTTTTAAAGAGCATGTAATATAAGTGATCTGTCACTTTAATGAAGAACACAAACTTAAGTTGTCTGCAATCTTGGCTGTGTTTAGGATATATAGTGTTGGTCAGTCCTCCCTCTCTCTATATGAAAATACCTTAATAACTTACACCCGTAGATGGCTTGTGTAACTCTATCCACTGAACTTACTAAAATGTACTTTACAATTACATACATTCACTCATACAAAGGTGACGATAATACTACAAAGTAAATGTTGTTGTTGCCCCGAGTTTCACAGATGGGAGAAACAAATAACTTTGGAGCTCATCAAACTCTGAAGTACTCTTTGTTTTATTTTTATCATCTCTTGTATCAGGTACTAATCTTGCTTGCTCATACAGCTTCGGGGTTTTAGGACCAATAATTTACTCACCCAGATCTTAGTGGATGCTTGAAATCTACTTTGCAAAGTTTATAAGAAGTTTGGATATTTGAGAAAGTATATATATTTCCTTAATGTGTGCGATATTTGTTCTTGGGGCCTAATAATCCAAATAAACAAGTTCTTTTCCTCCCAAGCAAAAAGGTTTTTAATTTGTTTTATTTCAACAAAGTCGAATCAGTAATGTAACATCACCAAATTTAGCTTAGGACAACTGCCATTCCCTGTGTTGTTTTGGAAAATTTTTCAGTCTTCTTGGAACCAAAATAGTAAGAAGAAATTAAGCTATATTTACACAGATGAACCCATTAAAACTTTTGGTTTAAAACTTTAACTTCTACCATTCAAAACAAAACATATAAACATAGTGTAACTACATAGCAAATGCCTTTTGCCTAGCATTATATGCATTCATTCATAAATATTTTCTAAGTATCTATATATCTATTTATGCACTTTGTTTAGCTAGTTGTAACTGAATCTCCTTAGGAGGGAGATTATGTCTCATACTACCTTAATAGTCTTAGGAAGATAAACCCAGGATTTGGGAGATAGTAATCCCTTAGTATGTGTTTCTAATTGGCATTGAAGGGGTAGCAGCAATCTACTTGAGGATGATACCTGATTCGTATTGGTCCAGGAACAACATAACCACAGCATTAGTTTCTGTTA